CCAAGAAGGGCGAAACCGGTCGTGGGCTGTCGAAGAGTTTTCAGCAACCTTGTGAGTAGTTTCCTTTATGAAAATATACTGCGATATCTCGAATATCGTGCCAACTGAATCATGAGGCGGCCTGTGTGCAGCACATTCAGTTGTAGAATACCATAAACGAGAGATTCAGTTGGGTCTCTCGTGAAAACGTACGTGTTTGTTTATAATACATTTTGAGTGATGGACAACCTCCGGGTCCTGGTTCTTTTCACAACGTTCACGTCCTTTTCCGACAGGTCTCTTCAGCCATCGTAGTGGGGGAATTTTGCTACAAACAGAGTAGTCCCCTTCTCTTGACGTCACCAAAGTTACAAGCTGGTGTTGATCACTGTCACAGATTCACCTCTGCCGGTGTACTCACCCTGATTTAGTTTGCATCAAGGAATTATTTTGTGTCCTTTCTCCTCATTCATTCATATGGTCATTACCCACTTCAAATAGTCATACTCATATCGGTACCCTAAAACTCTTATTTCAAGCGCACATTTTTGCTGAGTTCTTTTTGTAGATTCATGTTATCACTTCATGTTGGTTTTCAATGTGAAACGTAAGAAATTCAGCGATTATTCTGTGTTGAACTTCCCAGTTGCGCATTGTTTTTGCTTCCCCTACCAAGAAACTGGTTTGGAGTTGTCATCGCTCAAGCACGTGATCTCTAGGCTATATCAACTGTTTATCAGCTTGGCTCCCGTTTTCTTAATTTCCCCAGGCCTTCTCCAACTTGACCAAGGCTACCTGTCGATCTCTGTGCACTGTCATGGTAGTTGCGATAGTGCGTGAGGCTGGACAAGTGGTTCTTGGTGACAACGAACCGCTAGACACATGGGCTGTGGTTCTCAGCGGAACGGTAGAGGTTAGTTTTGCCTGAGCTCAGCAGCGGTGCGCTTCCGGATTGTCTATTTATTATCCCTCACTAATAAGCAGTCGATTTTTTATTTTTTATTTGTAATAAAGCAGCAGGGGAGATGACTCATCAGTGGGATGTCTACCCGTCCATCCTACATGTGCCTAAACTCATTTCAAGGTTTATTTATTTATTGATTTAGCCGCTTGCTGAACTCAGCATTAACGAAACATAACTACCTTTTCACCAACCCCGGTCTGAAATTCACGTGGCCTATTGAGCGCGGGTATACACTTATTCGCAGCTGTAAAAGTCGAAAGCGGTATCTGTTTTCCGAGTGATTCACTTCCGATGTGAAACGTCATTCGCCCTAACGGTACTATCCGGTAATTTCTCTGTCACATTACACAACATGCAGCCGAGCAGACCGCACCTTAACTACACGAAGCAAGCCCCATTGGCCCTTCTGTGCATGTTAATCTTATGCTGATTAGTGAGTGTTCACCTTCTAGCAGATCAGAGCAATCCGGCTGACTGATTCTTTCGTAACCTTGTAGGTTGACAGTAAGCTATCCGTGGCGATGCCACCCCGAATCTACTCTACCTGTTGTCTAATTCACTTCGGTATTTTATTTCAACCAGAACTACACCGTAGTTTATCTTAACCCAATGCAAATATCTTGTTTGTCTGGCGAAATGTATTCCACCCGACTTGACCTACTTGTGGTCCTTGTTTTATTCATCGCAGTCATACTGTTCACTCGAATACGGGCTTGTGTTGCAAAACTCGCAGGCCTGCAACTGTAGCTATTCGTGACGACCACAGGCTGAGCGAACTACACCGACCAGTTGGTGTCCTGTCTTTGTCCTTATGCACTGGTCGATGCAGTGGACTTTTATGCATCCACCTTTTCTAATGGGAACAACCATTCTCGAATTTTTCCTCCCCTGCTCGATCACACAAGCCTTTGTTCTAGTGTCAGCGGTTTCAGAGTAGATCTTTTCAGACTTTGTTTTCGGCTCTGGCATTTGGACAGACAGTTGATTCTTGCCGCGTAACGCTTCAACACACCGCTATGATTCATTTCAGGTTATTGAACCCGATGGAACTATTCGGGAGTTGACTCGGGGTGATGCATTCGGTGTTCGGCCGGGTCGAGAGGATCGAACACACCGCGGTGTCATGCGCACCGTTACTGAGGATTGCCAGTTTGCCTGTGTTCCACAAGCTGACTATCTGCAGATAATGAGTCGCGAGGGTGAGGCGGAAATTCCTGAAATGGGCGAAGGCGGTCGTGTGGTATTGGTTTACGAAGCGTTGGAGACAGACACGTCAACAGTGCGTCCTACGGTTTCGAAATCTATGGAATCTACAACTACGGTGCTTCCAAAGAAAGGTCGCGTTGTTACCAAGGTTAGCTTGACCTGTTTTTCTATGGATACCACGTTTCTATTACTCGTTATGATTGAAATTGTTGGGAATACATAGCTACTTACCTATTGGCTGTTATCGGTCCGTTCACGGCCGTCTACGAAGCGTATGCTATCATCCAAACTGATGTTTCTCTGTTAGTTTCACGTTGTGGAATCTTCGCACCTTCCTTGGTGCGAAGTCCGCGTGATTCTTCCCGCGCTACCCTATAAGTCTTGGCACGCAACCGCACCTACTGTAACTTCTTAGCCGAACTCCCCAGCCAACACTCTTCTGCCATCGTGCCCCAACCCCGTATTTCGCGTCAACTTAAAATCATGTATCGGATCCCATATACAAGTGGTGTGAAACTGAGCTGATATTTTCTCTGGAGACGTGAGCAATCAGCCGAAGTGAAATAGCAGTATCGACACTGGCTTTTAGTGCTATTACTATTGCTGTCGTTATTACCGATTGGTTATTTTGTTCGTACTGCAGTGTCTCCTGCTGTTCTGCTCCCACAGGACGCATTCAAAGGACTGTCCAAGTTTGACCGATAACAGAAAGGTAGTCAGATTGCTTGAATGACGGATGTGCTCATACTTTGGACCGCATTGCCTCTTATTCGATTTCTGATAGGCTCACGCTGAGTAGTCCTTAAATCGATAAAACAGCCTTCGGATGATAGCTGCAAAAGATGGTCATCTGTTCTCCACTCCCTTTTCGTCATACTACTTAATAGTGATGCTCCGTATGGAATCGTTAGCACACGCAGTATCCTGTTTTCTTTAGCCAGTACGACGTGTGTGGGATGCTACCCTTATCCAGTCGTTCCTTGATTTTAGCTCCACCCCCACACTCTTGGCGGTTCAATTGTACTTTTCCCCGTCATCACTCGGGCCCCTTCTCCTTAAATGTTTTATCTTTTCTTCTATGAAACTGTTCCTCTATTCGGTAACAACCGTACGTGTTTTTACGTGACTTTTGCACAACGAAAGAGAGCGACAGTTGAGCCGTTTCTTCCAAAGCCAGACCAGTTTACTCGCAACGTTTTCCTCTGTCCTTGTTAGCGCAGTCTACGTGTACTGATCTACACATCAATTCCTTCTCGATCGTTTCACATGAACCAACCTCGTGTCTGTCTCGAACTTTTTAGCCACGTGACCCGAACCGTTTGCTTCCTGAAATACATTCTAGTTTTCATACACTCCCAGGTTCAGGCACGCAGTCTGATTTACTCATAACGTCATTCGTGATTATTCGAAGCTGTTACAATCGTACAGATCGACTCACCCTGCTGAGTCCGCACGTGTTGCTGAGCCACTGCGTCAATCGTCTATTGATGTTTATCCTATTTTCGCTGAACCACTCAGTCAACTTCGGTACACCAAGGTCTAGAGAGGTATTCGTGTGGCTTTTAAAGATACACAAAGCACTGGTACTTACGAGGTTATAGACGCCAAGCAACCTGGACACAGTTTACATAAACACCCGTTCATTGGATGCACCCATCTGTAGTGAAATGGTCTTCATCCAACCTTTCTCCCTCAGGGTACCCCCGAAAAATTGATCGAACACCTGGTAGCCGACCTTTCTAATGTAGATATCACCTATCCTGAAGATTTTCTGCTCACCTATCGCACATTCCTCGAGAGCCCGGCCCCGATTGTCGATCGTCTTCTCTCATGGCATATGCATGCTCCACATCTCCGTGCGCGAGTTAATCGGATTGTCATCTTGTGGGTCCACAACCACTTCAACGACTTTGAGGATAGCCCAGAGATGATGAAGTTCGTGGAAAAGTTTGACCGCATTCTGGTCACAGACGGGACTGGTGAGTGTGCTCTCCCTTTCATTCAGTTTCTTATTTGTCTCGTTCACTTGTCACTAAGTTCCCAAACTCACTACCTGCCACTGCGCTCAGGGTTTATTTAGCTTCGCTCATGACCTAATATTTTGATCGCTTCAACTAATGCTTCCTTCATATTTTACCTCCGTCTTTTTGTGAAAAGTGGTCAGACTGACTACCGTGTCAATTCTGAATAGTTCAACTTGAAAAACCAGCTTTCTCCTGAACTCCCTATGTATTCTCACGAAACCTTACAGTAGCTTCAGTATATTGTCTGACCGGGTTCAAATCCCATGCGAGTTGACAATTCTTCTAACCTCTTCTTCGCATCCAATTCAAAGTTGACAGTTGGGTCAGCGTAAGTGCAGAAAACTGAAAGCTACCGGGCAGCCGTCCCATCCTTTTTTTGGAAACTTGTCTCCCAAAACACAGTTGGGTTTCCAACTATCGGACTGAAGGTTACCGGTTAGCACTCACCAGTATAACGCCCTTCATCTTCGGTGGCGTAATGATAATTTTTCATTTATCTGCCGATTACTTTATTGAGCGATGGTTCCGGTGCGTTCCACTGTGGAACACTGATGTCATCATAGAGTTCCGGTATTGTCACAACGTACAATATCATTACTCCGTTTTCTAGCCACGGAATTTGGCGTTCTCCTTCCATCCATCGCTGGAACGTGACAAGCATTTGATAGATCATGTGTCCTCACCAGGGGCCGCAATGTCACACAGGAGTTTGCATCCGCGTTACTCTCCTTTCTTTGAGACTTCACTAGGTGGATAGCTCCTGTCTCACAGAAACTTGAGGGAGACTGGAATGATAGAAAGGGTACGGTGACCATGATGTACCCTTCACAATGCATCTGGCATTTGTATTGTGCAGCTAATTATGATTCAGCTAACCGTTGCTGCTGGACTTTGTAGTTATTGCACTCAACCACACCACTGCACTGTGCAGATACATCGGAATTTGATTTTAATCGAAGCGGGATCAGCGATCAGAGTTCCCTAGAACTTTCCCGTATTCTCCTGATTCTCCCTCTTTCGGTGATCTTTGCCACTGCCTTCTAGTGGCTATCCGACATTACCGGATCAAACTCGTCCTTCCTCAATTTATGGTATTCTCACTTCCACTCTTCTTCACCTTCGAAGAATTGTCATTCTGGCTATTCACCGTCCAAATTTATACTTATCTCCAACGCCGAAACCCATACATGTAGTTATGCTGCCTTCATGTAAGCTGCATCAACTGCTTGCCAGCTGACAACGCTAGTTTTTTTTTATCTCTGCAGCCCATTCTAGCAAAGGCATCGGCGTCCAGACTTCTCAAGATAATACTTCACTAGGATTCTTCTGGTGGAGATGTCTGAAAGCCCTCCGTTTGCTCTGTGGGGGCATGACTGTACGAGCTCCATCGGAAATCGTCCTGAAAGAGTTTGAGAATGGCTGTATTCTCCCAAGGCTGTCTCTGGTTGTTAGCGGCACCCGCAACTAGCATTCGAAGCAGTCGATGGGCTCAGTATGTGATAACAGGTGTTCTTAATTCGTCAAAATGTTGAGTCCTTGCTCAAGATCGATCAGGACATTCAGTTTCTCTGTCCCTCTATTACTGCACTTGCCTGTGAGGTAGAATCTAGGCAAATTCTAGAACCGCGTTTAGAAACACTAACCTCCTGGCATCGGACTTTTTTAAGGGGACCTGTTGATAACACATCTGTTCGATTGGTGTTAGGGTAGCTCAAGATCGCTTGGTGGTTAAGGCGCGAACTAACTGATCGGAGGGTCCATGGTTCGAACCTAACCACAACATATAGACTGCTCCTGTATATGTTTGGGCAACCTGGCAGCATCTCGGTCCTTGTGCCCCTTCGAAAAAAATGGCAGCTAAGCACCAAAACGATGTTGCAGCTGGACGATTTTTTAGTGCTAGGAAAACTGATTGAAACTCTTCCGACAAACGACACCAGCTGGTTTTCGAATTTTCGTCATCATTGGTTTGTTTCTTCTTGGACTCCGCACCATGGAATTGAAGAATCTGAGTGACCTATACTGACTCCACTAGCTGGGTGAGATATTCAGAATGACACCTCGACGACTTTCGTTGCCTGCTGTACACGCACTTCCTAACCGAAACTGTCCAAACTCGTGAGATGGTCATTTCCCCATTTCTTGTCATCTTCCCGTTCAAATCTGTTATTCGGACCTGTGGCTATTCCCTAATCATTGTGGTTCACTCTTCTTCTAGCGTTTTTCGACTTCTACTAGTCCTCACACGTCTGAAGTTAGATTTCTATTTGGGGCACGTAATTACAGTAGTCCTTCCGAAAAAACACTCCCCACGAGGTAGTCTGTCCCGGAAGAGGGCATCTTCTACCAGCCATACGAGCAAACAATGGTATACTCATCTACTATTCACAGATCTCCATTTGTTTGACTATTTTCGACTGCCAAATCCGGTTCGAATGCTAGCCTTTTACACCTATAGCCTTTATAATAATACATAGAAGCCAGCGAATTCATAGTTTGGCACTCCTCTGTGACGTATGCGATGTAAAAAGCATCCCTCGCTATGGCTACATTCTTCGTCCATGTACACCGTCAATGTGGCACTGGTTAGTGAAACTCTCTTTTGTAAACACTAACGAGAATTTCACAATCTTGTTGTAAATCCGAACACTGGTGTGGTTCTTTGTATATCAAGGGTCGAGATGGCTCGGTGGTTAAAGCGTGAATTTACTGACCGGAAGGTCCATGGTTCGAACCCGACCTCTGCCTCTCGACTTCCCCCGTCTAGGCTTAGGCAACCTAACAGCATCCTCTCGGTGGCATGGCAGCTGGGCACCGAAAGGGTGCTACAGCTGATTGTATATCCAGAAGGAATTCCTCTCTCGAGACAGTCCACGGCTGTGCTAATTCTCCACAACCATATTAAGTATTTAACGCGTGATGCTACTGACGTGCGTGGTGTTGAACCAGCAAGAGGTATTCTGGTACGAATTTCTATGTCACCGGGATCTCAAGAGGCTCATGTCATCGTCGTACGCTTTTGCCTGCTCATCTCTGGAGAGGTCATCTTCAGGAGAGACCTAGCATCAAAACCGACCACCTAGCCCGATCTGTGAAGCGTATTTCAGTAATAAGCTATTTCTCAGAAAGGACAAACTTACAGGATTGACAGCTTTCGTTCTATATTGTGAAGTGACTTCTCGAGATACAAGTAGAAATAAGTGTACAGCTTTTAAAAAACAGGCCTTTGAGAAAGGTCACCTATAACCGACCTATTCAAGTGACCTTTGTATAGCCACATAGTTTATCAGTGTTGGAGTACCAACCCTAAAGACCGCTTAAACTGATTTGCCAAGCATCGTCTCTTTGGGTACTTGGTCTCCTCTAGGAGGGACCTAATCGTCCGTAGAACTCACAGTGGACCAATCCCAAATGGGCTTGTCTGAGAGGCGGTCTTACGCAGCCATGTGCCATAGGGATAAAGTTGTTATGGGACCAACAATCACGCGGGCGAACAATCTTGTATTCGTGCCTTTGTTCAGACACCTAATGTGTGTCGTGGCTGAGATAGTACTTTGCGCCTTTTTCCGAAAGTTGGGATGCGGCCTCTCAGAAGGTATCATTTTCAAGGCTGATCTCATAAGACTGGTTTCTCTTCGCGCGACTACCGTACGTCTACTGTCGGAGACATTTGTAATTAACTAGCGGCTCGTTTTGTGTATCTACGTGCTGATTCGAGTCGTAACTGTGCAGATATGTCCCAAAACAGTGGTGCACTTTCGCAACTTTTTTATTCTAGTAATTAGCTAACTCCATTCGATCTACATATTTGCCAATTTTTCAACCCTTTATGCGCCTGTCATGTATATTCACAAGTGTTGTCCTTTGTGAGCTGAATCTGCGTTATGTATCTCACTTCAGCCCCTCTTTCCACCTACTGCCACCTTTCTCAGGTTTACTCTCTTCCCTATTTTGGTTTTCCCTCATAAATTCACTGCGCATTTGCTTGTGTACATAGGCAAACCTATCTCACCGAATGGTTTGTCCTCTTGGGACACGCACGTGCAAACTATTGAAGCTGAAACGCCCTTACTCCTCTCATCCTTTCGCTGGATGCAGTTAACATCCTGCTTAGGTAGCAGTCTCTCTTTGCTCTCTGCCAATTGTATGTGATAATTAAGGCGTTGTCTGTCTCAGCGTCATCTCGCACCCCTGATGACTGTGTATGATATCTGCGAATGTAACCGTTGGTCTCTCAACCTGGTAGTGTGAAATCCGTGACCTGAGATGAGCAACTGTTCGAATGTTGTTTGCGAAGAACAACGGGGGATATCCACCCGGGAATAAAGTGCCACGGTCAAGGGAAAGGGTGGATTACTGCCAGACCAAACGAATGTGGACTGGTAAACACAAACACAACCACCCACGAAGGCAGCGCCGCCTCGCTGGTGCTTTCCCTAGTAAAACAGATTATGCACTGGCAATTTTGGTGCGCAAAACTAATTATGCGAGTACATTACCGTTGTTTCGCTGATAATTGTAACTGCACGGGCGATTCTTTTCAAAAACCACGAATGCTCGTCGCTAAGTATTTAGGGTAGAACAGAGTAAAGCAAAAAATACCGGGCCGGTTGTGAAATCGGTGTGCGACCACACAAATACGAGTTCCATCATACTGCTTCTTCTGGTGTGCTTATCTGCTTGTGCTACACTACACTTGGAAAATGCAGCTGCCAGGCTTTCTCTGCACTTGGAAAGTATTGAAATCCAGGTGTTCAAATTTCTCCGTGAGAGTACCCTGTCAACCTGGAATATGTGGACGACTTTCTTATTCTTGAAGAGGAGCAGAAAACGCAAGCATTGTTAGAAAACCTGACTACGGTTGCCCAGTCCCTCGGCATGTACTTTGTGTCCACAAGTTGCAAGCTCGAGATAGCTCAGTGGTTGGGGTTGCAACTTGCTAACTGGAAGGTTCACGTTTCGAACTCGACCCGGTATCTTGACTGCTTCGGTCTAGGGTTGTACAAACGGGCACTATCTCATCTTTCATGCTTCCTTCGATGGTATAGCAACTAGGCACCGAAAGTACGTTACAGCTGAACAATTGTGAACAGCTTATTGTTGTACAAAGTCAACAACACGAATCTCAAAGGTCAGAATTGTGTTTGCCGATTCGCGCCACAAACGACACGCAAGTCATTGCGGAATGCGTTGCTGCTACACTTGGCCACTTCGGGTGGAAGACGAGACATTTTCATGTCTTTGAACACCAATGCCCCAGGAGTTGTCTGGAGTAAGGCAATCAGGAGACGGTTTTTTTTTGCTGAAACAGGAGGTGCTTCATGCAAATAATGAACCCAGCACTGCAAGCTAAGATGGCTGGGCCGTGTTACACATTCCAAATCACCGTCTGCCGAGGGGAATGTTGTTATCAGTGCCTAATTCGGGGGGAGGGGGATACAATCCAGAGGTTGATAGAATATCACATGGCAAAAGGAACCGAAATGTATTGCGGAAAGTTTGGATGCCATTGATGTCTTCCAGGATGGGGTCCACGTGACCCTCTTTCTATTTAGCTAACCGATGTCAGCGGCTTTCATGCTGTCAGTTTCTATCCAGATTGTCTGGCTTAGCGCTGGAGGTATAGACATCTCAGATGTTTTTGGCAAACTTATCCCAGGTCCCCGGCCCTGTCCAATTTTTTTTCATTATAAGGCTTTAGTGATTGTATGGCAACGAAGCACCATCGTTCTCCCCTGGTGTTGCTATGATTAATGATGTCTGACCGATTAGTATTTTTCGTACGATTTTCCGTTCATTTTTTTTCACCGCGGTTGACGGATTGATCATTTCACAGCTTGTGCCAAACAATCGAACATCTAGTGTTCCTTGTAACAATAGGATCTTGAGCGGTTCGTGATTTTACGTGTGCCTGCCGAAAACTACTGATGTATGTAGCACGACAGAGAAACTCTCCGGGGAATAATGGTCGATCACACCATTATTTTGTGTATCCTATGGTAAGTTGAATGCAACAATAGAATGATCCAAGTGCTCAAATGAATCCTCAGAGAAAACCCAGCCTTATCATGAGATTCCTTTGTAAGTAAAACGATGCAAAACTTCAAATACGTGATGGACATGTGGGTACTGCCGGATGCAGTTTCACTTAAACCCGAGTTTCTCTTCCTGTTAAGATAACACTTCTTGTTTGTTTATTCCTTGTTTATTCCACCAGACGATGCAGTTAGTTTTTCTCTTCATCCGAGATTGATCTTAACCTGCAGGTGGCCAGTTTCATCATCCTTTCTTTTTCCTTGACAAAAGGCGACAGTGCCTACCTTCGCAGTATATTTCGAACATGCGTTTCCTAACAGTGTTATTTTTTATCATGGTGAGTAGGCTACTCTTAACTCTGTTTTGCATTGTTTTTCCTCGTTTGCTCAGCTGGAGAACGACGTCTATTCCAACTAGCCTGCAGTACCAAGGCCCGTCCCCGTCAAATCGAGCTGGAACTGCCTCTTAGGCCGGTTTCCGGTAGTCATTCGAGCAGTTCTCCAACGCACCTGGTCAATATTCCCTTTACTCTGCTCGGCGGTCAGGATGGTTTCGGGATATTCGTAGATCAGGTGAGTGAAATGCAACTGTCTGAATTCACCTCTGCAGACAGCAGGCCTTTTTTAACCCAGGGATCGTGTTTGATTTGGAGGAGCGAGTAGATGAATTGTCTGACCATCTATTCGTTGGAAAAGCTCGATGTGTACAGACATTCCATTCCTGATGGAAATGTCGAGCCGAAGGCGTTTCAATAAATTTCCAGTTTGAAATTCCCGAAATTCTGTGGAAAACTCACCGACATTTGATCACTATTATGATCAGCGCTTTGTTCATCCCTGATATCGCCTAATGCTCAATCTTTCAGCGCTGAATTAGATGCGGAAAGGAGTATTATTTTCAGCTTGTCATGACGGAGCACGACGTTACAACGACTGGCAGTAGATGTCTTCCTCTGTTGGGATCCTTACTGTTTGTCTTGATGCGAATCGTTTAGCTCTAGTCTACTTAAGCCATGATTCTTAATCATTTATTCTGAAAGACCTTGGAATGCCCCTGAGCCCCGACAACCACTTACGCCTAGTTTCACAGATGTATGCCGAAAATCGTAGAAACATCTGTTTCCTGAACAAAATATCATTGGTTCTGAGCTTTCTGGGATGGTCCGTTGAATACGACTTTTTGGTTTTTTAATCCTCATTGTCGATCATCATCAGTGCCCAGATGCTTATCAAACCCACATCTTCATCAATCCTACCTTATAGGTGTGAGCCGTCTAGATTTCTACATCGTAATGCAAAAATCTTTTCAGCACATGAAACCTACACTATTCTCTCATACTATCACTATCTATATTGTACAATCCCTATTTCAATATCGATTGCTTGTAGGCTTGAGTGAACGCTTTGTTCTCTACTTGCTTCCGTTCCCTTCATGGGCCTGTAAATTGAAAACGGTTTGTAGTGTTGCCCTATCTATTGGTTCGGACAGTGAGAAGCAAATGGAGCCAAATGCGTGGCAATAGTCTTGTGGGGTCTAGCCTCCTCCCATTTCGGAGTCATTAATTAATTTCTCCATGCTATTCACGCCTTTAACTATTCTGTCCATGTTTGACATACCTGTTCACGATTTCTCACGCAGTTTCGTTGGAATCAGTATTTCAAGTTCTAATTGTGTGTGACTTTTTGGCAGGAGTTTGTGAGTCGCCAGAATGTCAAATCGTTTGTGAACAACGGGATGAAATATGGTCGTAGGAGAGTATGCCCTTCACAGCAATAACGAAACATCATATCACTCTTGCTTAGGCAGTCACTGTCCTGTCCCAGCACGACTGTTCTATTTGGTTCTCACTGAGAGAGGGGAAAGCAGTTGACTAACCTTTGCTATCATTAGAGTTCATCGATAATACCTATCCTTTCCATGTCAATGTGTGAAGTACGGACCTCTGTCGTTCCAAATTAGTTTGTTACCACCACTAAAGCTTGTTGGACGATCTTGAATCACCACGCCTGAGCAGGCGAATATGTCCGCATTTCGAGTAATTTGGTTTGTTTTACTTGCTGGATGTCGGGCGAACCAATCACGCCGCCCAAATTGCGAACGCCAGGCGTAAAAATTGAGACCCGTCCAGCGTGCCCTAATAGAATGGTATCACGCACCAAATGCTCGCGATACTAAACCCGGATGGCTGTAGAAAGAGAAACCTTAGTCCCATCTTTCCATTTTGGTGTGGACTAACTAGATTGATTGCGCCACCATAGGAGGACTGTTCGTAGACACAAATCCTGCAACTACTTCGTAGCTCTCCCAAATACTGCAATCCAACAATCAACTACATAATAATCCTGCGTTCATCCTCTACTATCTGTGCTTTACCTGTCGAAGCTGCAAACTCACTTGTGCATCTTCTTTTGCGGGGCATCTTCCAAAGGGTGTCTTGTCACAGGGTTGTTAGTACTACCTACGTCATGCGGCATTTGCTTACCAGTTGTCCCTTTCTCCTGCATCACATGACCATTCAATAAGAAAATCGTTCCCGGTTGGGTTTACAGACAGTCGGTTTGTTGAATTTGCTGTAATTTATTCCATGCTGTCTGGTTTGCATGAATCTGAATGTCAGATGGACTAACCAAACAGACGCCAATAGTTTTCTACATGTGTCAAACGAAACTATTCCACCGACACTTTTGTTTGTTCGTGAATGATGTAAATAACAAAAACTACACCTCCCACCCTCTGCATGGAAGTGCTGAAAACCTAGCTGACTTATGAGTTTCCTTGACAAATTTCGTCACCCTCTGCAGCGGATTCAACGGAATTTCGACCACCAATTTGTCTGTCACACGACACCTTGGCCCTACCTACCTGTGAAATCAGCTAAATCTGGAGGTCGGTTGCTCAGCGCCAAAATTTCTAGTCAAATTTTTCTTGTAAATGATATTACGTGACGTCATCGTTCGTAACACGAAGTCTCTGGATCCAATTGTAATTGCAGCAAGATAGCATAAAAACTGAAAATAACCTAAAACAATTATTCTACAGGTCAATATCTAAAAGCGAACAAGCTGTAGCTGTTAGCCTTTGCAGTCAATAAGGTTCATCACAAAAACATTCTAAGAGGTTATTAGAAGCATTACTAGCTATGCTTTCCTCGTAAGAATTAAATTTGCAGGCGCTGCCTTCTATCCGACACCAAATTCCCTACGTAGTTTATAGAACCTTTCAGTTCAACAGCGATGACTGTCCTAGGTATTGGCTACTCTTGCCCACTTGCTGATGAGTTGACATGAATGGTTGTCAGTCCTTGGCATTACAGTCGAATCATGCTTGTACTGTCCAGACTAACCAGAGAGGGGTCGATTGGCTTTAACTAGTTGCAATGCACTACTCATAAGGTCGCTGGAAATTCCTCGACAGCCCACGACCGGTTCCGCCTTTCTTGGGGCTCATCAGGTAGGTGTAGTTCCCGGGTTTCCGTCAGCCTTGTGTTCCAAAACAAGAGATTCAGCTAGGTTCCAGGTGGGTCGCTTGCAAAACCAAATTTGTTTGCAAATCAGTGTATTTGGCTAATTTCGTGCGATTTGATTCCAAGTAATATATAAGGTTGACGGAAACTCGGGGACTGCGCCTACCTGATTAGCCCGAAGAAGAGCGAAACCGGTCGTTGACTGTCGAAGAATTTTCGACAACCTTATGAGTAGTGCATTTCGTGCATACATGAATCGCGGTATCCCGAATATGCTAGCAACTGAAACATGGGTCCGTCTGGTGCAGCACATTCAGCTGCCTGGAAACATCACAAACGAGAGATTCAGCTGGTGAGTCTCGCAAAGCCAGATTTGTTTGCAAATGAGTGTATTTCGCTTATTAGACCAGTCTTATTATGACGGGACACTGTGGTTGGTCATTACATCAAGACGGTGTTATTAATCTAACGACGGAACCAATCGCCATTATTACTGAGTGTCATGTTTATTGTTACTAAAAACTCGATTTTGCCCTACAAAAAGACCAGTCTCTATTGAATAGCTCGGGAGTACTGTACAGCTGCGTTATTGGTGTTGAGAACCATTGGCCCATCATTGTCAGCAGTCATTTTCTCAGGAAACTTAAATCAGCGGTCACCTGGCTAGTAGTGGAGCGCTAATCTGTGACTGGCCTGTACAGCATATTGCGCCACCATCCTTCAATCTAAGAGTTCGCTTCATGTGATCCCGTGTCCGTTCGTCATGCTGCATGCTCATTCCGTCAATCCTTTGTGATTTTCAACACTGAGTGATATCATGCACAAGTCGTGTCCAATTCACCAGCGGTCTTTTTGTATTCCCTTTGAGAATGTCAAGATTGTGTAGTCACGTGGACGTGGTTGAACTAAGCTTTTCCGTTCCGAACTATCTTCAGGTCACCCGTTCTTTGTGTACACCTGTATGCAAATGAACTACGCGCCGGTCGATATTACTCATCACCGTCGCTCACTGTTTTGTAATAGGTCTTGAATATGCGCCCGTTTGTCTGCAGTTCGAACAGCCTAGCCACCGACGTGTGTGCTCCGTCTGTTGACGAATAATTAGCTCCAGATAGATCTTGGTCCGTAGAGTGCGAAAGGTCGCTTTGCATTTATGATTCTGTCGAAGACCATCCGGATCGCCAGCACCGTGTGCTGTTTAGGTGCGAATTAACCCAGCTTTTGACAGCCTACTACGTATCTTTTTCTTCATACCATGACATCCCTGCATTAGATGCAATGACTGGGCTTTTGAGATCACCTCGCAACGACCCTCAAGCACATAGATAGAAAAAACCTTCAATGCGAATTCCAGATACGTTGAGTGAGGGACATGCGTCTCTTAGGGCTTCGTATCAAAGGTTAAAAATCAACTGACCAATTGGCATCCGATTATCGCTAGCTAGGCTCCTATCGGGACATCATCCAATCATCCTAAGGACTCCATCGGAATACTTGAAAAACACCAGAATTTTTTAAAATGAACTAGTTGTAGCTAACTTTTTGGTGTTACAAAAAAGCATGCAGGTTCGCGCAGTGAAGCATGGAACTGCGTCCTCCCCGCTCGTCAAAATGACCCACAGACAAAATTTAATTACGGGATCTATTACACGCCAGTCGTCCTTTGATTGCATGTAAAGCCTCCAAGCTAATCATTTACTGACTCCGGCAACCGCCGAGTCACCGTTTGTATGTGAACTGCACTGTAGCCCATTTGTATTGGGAACTGGTTTCATCGAACAGGGCTGTTTGAGTACACTTCTGGTTGTGTTTTCTGTCTTAAATTTTGATTGATTTCCTCTACACTAATCCGCATTCCACCACAGATCCTGAATTTACCACGAAAACGATGAGCCATGTCTGTCATTTGAATCATCTCTCTCACGCAAGACGTTGAAGGAACAGTACTCTTTTCACGACTCGTGACAGGTCCATCGATCCGGATGATTCAACCTAGGTGCTCAGAATAATTTGGTTTAGGGGAATCGAGGCACAAATCATGAAGGACAGCACCTCAAATGTGGGTTAGATGTGTTTGAGGCACTTTTCCACTGGTCTTTCATGCAAGTCAAATCATCAGGCATCTTATTTTTGTCGTTTATGTCTTTCGGGATATCGCCACCACTAAAATTCCACGAGAAGATCTATCGCTGATACACCGATAAGTAGTATTTTCAGCTGTAATAGAAGACATCGACAAAATATTAGCAACAATTCCGTTCTTCTGAATTTCCAAATGTGATTTAGCTTATGTTTTCCCTTCTCCCGGTACGTCATTGAAAATCAAAACAGAACGGCTTTTATATAGGCCTGTCTACGCATTCATAGGTCATTCTTTGCTCGTTATTCAAAAGACTGTTCGCCGTTCCTCTCGATTGCAATCCGATTCCTTCAACCATTGTGAACAGCCGCAGTCAGCATTGTTGGCACTGCTCCTTGCCCTTGGCGATGTTCCATATATGTTGTTGCATATGTTGACTGTAAAATCAAAAGCCATTACAGCCTTCGCTTGTCGCGTATATGCTCAATTTCGACAAAGCAATGAACGGCTTGCGTAATCCTTTGGTATATGTCATGACATTTTATCGAAAGTTATTGGTCTGTAAGTTATTGTGGTTTGGTCTCTGTTGGGTGTCAAAAGATTCGTGATTGAGGTGCGACCTGATCACCTAATTAATGTCTTTAGAGCATTCGTAGTCACACCACCACTCACATCCACATCTCGAAAACAGATTGGCTGCTACTGAGGAAGGTGAATAATACCTGGTTGATCGATACGACAGCCTCAATAATTCACACTTGAAACCGCCAAACTGCCTTATCACTTTCGTTCACAGTGTACTCGATGAATTATTTGATAAACTGGAGGTATGTACCAGTACAAAAGTGCTGTCCGTCTTGATATACTTTTAAACGCGATGCTGTTTAGCATAATCATCATCATCAGTGCTGACACTGATGCTTCACTGCCGCACAACCATAAGGGTCGTCTAAATTTATTCAAAGCCCTAGAGTGGAAAGAAGAGAAAAGAAGGGGCGAGGGAGGGGACCTAGTGTTGACCTATGTCAGGCGTTCTGAGGTGCCTACACCTCCAAGCACTGAATCAAGAAAGAAACTGACATGACAAATGCCACTGGCATCGATCAGCCGCCATTTCTTGGAATGTCTCCAGTCAAGCACAGGCGGGGTCACGGGGATTCCATCCTGGCAATCGTAAGACACCAACAGCACCCAAACTCTTTGTAATCTCTTTCACGCCCTTCTGTTAAGTCATACTTTGTCCACCTCGCGATTTGCGCCATTCTGAAGGTGGTACGGAGAACAACATTCGTCTCGGTAGGCCGTCTTTTGGCATGTGTAGCACATGACCGAGCCACCGTAGTTGGTGGCGCTGGATGTTTTCTGTAATTGAAGCGCCCGTTTTCTAATCAATTCTGCTCGAATTCTAAGGGACATGTTCAGAGACCGAACGTTCTGAGCATGACTTTGCACTTTCAAGGTGCAAGGCGCATGCCAAAAGATGGTGGTCAGTCTATTCAACAGAGTTTGTACTTCGCTTTGGTCTTCAAAGATAAGGACAATGTCGTCTGCGTACTCCAGATCGACAAGGTTCTCACCAGCAATGATCTGAACACCGGGGTTTGCAAGACCCTCCAGTTGAACAAGAATGGCGTGAGTGGGCACCCTTGTGGGAGGGAAGCTTTTGGAGAGCTCACCATGCACTCTCACCCGCCCAGAATTATGTGAATATAGGGATCGGATTATGTTTACTAACTTCTGGGATATACCTTATTGAGCAAGTGTAGTCAACAGCATCGATCGATCAAGTGAATCAAACGCACCCTTGAAGTCAAGGAATACCAGGATTTTGGGTCGTCTGTACATGTGGCGTTGCTGTAACACCTGACGGAGTGTGAAAATGTGGCCAGCGCAGCCTCTACCCGATCGAAATCCCGCTTGATTCTCACGAGGCAAGGTTTCACGTGCCACCGTAAGACGTCAAAGAATCAGTGGCACTAGAAGCCGTGTCACGGCAGGAGTCAAACTAACACGTCTGTAGTTAGTTACTTCATTCACTGCGAGTCCCCTTTTTGAAAATGAGCACTACTGTCGATTTAACCCAGTTGTCTGGGACGGTCTCTTTCCCCCAGATAGACCTAGATAAGCTAGACAGGTGTTGGCTGAGGAATCCACCGCCATCCTTGCAAAGAGCAGGTGGAAGGTCGTCAGGAACAGAAGCACGATATTGCTTGAGTAGAGAGATACACTCGGACACTTCCGAAACTGAAGGGGACTCCATATTCACAGTCCACCTTTTGAAGGCCAGGGTTTGGGATTGGAGGCAGCAGGTGGTCAGCTGAATCGCTGTTCGTGCCCAGCGGTCCAAATGTTCTGCTTTGGTGGATGTCAGACAGCCATTTTGGTTCCTGACAATAAGCTTCCGAGGACCAGTCGAACGAATCAAGTGGAGTAGCTTGCGGACGTTTCCAGCATTTTTGCATTTTACATTTCGGCTTTTCGGGTCCCCGAGGTCTCTCGGTCTGCAAAACTTCCCCTCGTATCGGGTAATGCTTCGGGTTGAGTTGTAATTGCAGCCAGGAGAACTCTGTCCCCGGGCTCTCAACAAGGACGCAGTCCTACCAGAGATCCCATGTTTGTGTGAGATTGGCTGGACTGTACCGCAAACAGAATTTCCGTCTCTGAGTAGCGCTTTGGATGTGTTTTCCGACTGGCCGTTTATGCCCAATATCGGACCGTCCGGCAGGCGTTCTTTATCGTCTCATTATGAAAGAGTATTGTCTGCCCCACGACACGTAATGATTATTATTTCGGACGAGATGGTTCAGTGATTAGAGCACGAATTCATTGATCAGGAGGTCCTGGTCCGAACCCGACCTCTGCCTCTCGACTTCCCCTGTCTAGGCTTGGGCAACCTGGCAGTATCCTAGCCCTCGTGCTCCCTTCGGGTGGCATGGCAGCTGTGCATCGAAAGGATGTTATGGCTGGAAGATTATCTTTTTTATTATCTTTACATCAGTCCATTTCTGTTCTTGTATATTTTGTTCAGTCACAGCAAGCCTTAAAAACGACAGATCCCTGCGCACTCATCACCCGCTGGTATATGTTCAACGAACACAAACACCTGTTCAGTTATGTCTAACGAAACGCGCTTCTGAACATTTTCGAACATTATACTTTTTAAAGTGACTTGCCATCTACCTGAAGAACGAAACATATGTTCATGCTGGATGTAGTAACGGTATTTTCCTCAGCTTAGTTCTCGGTCTGAGCCTCCCAAGCTAGCGTTCACGTCAAAACAAACACCAAAGGTGCACAAGGTCTATTAACGCCCAAAATGAAATCAGGAACAGTTGTACAGCGCTTTGTATATATAGCGTAAGCGGCTGTAACTTTCTGGAATTTCTGACGCGTTCTGGATGCGTCATTGGCAACTGCATTTGGCCAATACTGGGTCACGATTGGCTGTTGGGTCCAGATTGTTGACCAATTAGATCTCGTCTCGATGCCGGACCGGCAAGCTTCCCGAATTCTGGGCCAACCTCGAGCGGGCCAGGCTTCTCGGCCGTAGCAGCGCCTAAAGACGTGCGGTATTGTGGGATCCGCGTGGATTCCTGCCTAACACTGGAACATCTGGTTCTGCTAGTAAGACTCCCTGAATTCGATCCGTCCTGTCAGGGGTCTTCACACTATTGTTTTGTACTCATTCAGCTTGGTACTGACAGCAATATTGCCATCGACAACAAGCCAAAACAGAGTTAAGGCGGGGTGACTTTCATACGAAGGAAAATCCTTATTGCTCACCGAATCACTTGATAGTCCCGCTAACCAGAGCCAAAACCAATCAGGTGTAACTAGGCAGAGAGTGAGAATATCTGTCATTTTGTGCAATAGGACCTAGCACGTGTGGCCCGCAAGTCGTACTGCTGCACAGTCATGCGCCGCACAACTCAGCCCATCTCTGCTTGTCGGACGCCTCTTTCTAAGCAACGTCTTGTAAAAAGAAACGGTTCCGGCCGTTCACAGGTTTTTTGAATCAACCGTTTGCGTCACCAGTATGTTGAAATATTGGTAGTTCGGGCACCTCTATCGGGTGTTGAGCAGGTGGCTGTTGATCTCTCTGGCAATTAACTTGCAAACGTTTCGTCACCAAACAAGGGAATATCATCGGTGTGTGGAATGATGATACTCCTTCGTTTGGTGACGGGACGTTCGCAAGTTGGTCGCCAAGCACGGCGAACAGATTACCAATCGACTGTTTTGCTTTTTTTGTTTATTGCATTAGGCGAAATAAACCCACTATGAACTCATCCAACACAATACCCTTATTCTTTATGCCTAAAAGCTGTTTGCTTATTTTCTCACCTGTCTTCAACAGCAGGGCTTATTCTGCCAATGCCTACTTCATGGAATTCCTTGTCCTACTTAAAAAAATGCGATCTGTAACATCGCTAGCCGTTTCAGCTATGACGTCTGGACTGCTCCTGCCTAGACGCGGCAAACCTTGCAGTAGCCCATCCCTCGTGGCTCTGGGTGGCGTGGCAGCTTTGCCCTAAAAAGTATGCCACAGTCCAACCGTTATGACGGCACGCAGTCAACGACAGTTAGCAACATGAATAAACAGTCAGGTTTGGACACAACTATGGTAAACTGGTTCACACAGTCGAGTCTCTCCCTGAAACTAGAGAAGCACATTAGTCACGCGACTGATCTTCACTTACAAAACATTTTTGGGATACTGACGATAACTTGCTTGGTCGCTTCTGTCGTGTAAATTCGTATGTAACTCCATAGCCGCTGATACTTAAAGTTTCCATCACTTTGTTTGATTCCGGCTTCCTTTTGGGTTCATATCCTTAACGAGGCAATGCCGTGAGATAAAAAAAAGCTGCTTGAGTGCTCCAAATTGGAGTTCATTCACTCAGCATCATCCTTACCTTGATCAAATCAAGGGAGTAATGACAGGCCGCACCTATGTATTCCTACCATCGGTGTCACTGTGATCACCAAATGACGCAAACGGGATCAAAACCGAAAAACCTTGTGATCTGAATAGACTTCAGCATGAACTTGCGTAAAAAAGGAAATTATTCCATAGCTCTGCTCGCCGAAATTGTGACAGAGTTTACTGTGTTAGAGCATTTCATTCTGCATTGATAGACTCACACACTATCGTCTCTGTGCACTGTTTCCTCTGATTCCCAATATTCATTAGGGCTTTGATAATGTGTAGATAGATTCACACTCCTGTACAGAGGCAGTTTCTCGAATCAAGGATCAGGTTTATCTCGATATGATTGACTCTTATTGAACTCAGTTGAACCGTTTGCACATATCCGATTGCACCATCATCCATTTATAGAGATTTTGTGTCACACACTGCAAATCCTCCCTTCCAAAGTCTGGACATGTACCAATCCCACTGAACTAGATGATTTGACCCAAACTGTACTGCACACATGACCTGTACTGTGACCTCAAGTTAGGTAGAGTGCTCATACGACATGCAAACGGCGACCCGTGATGCATCTTCTGATTAGTACCTGTGCTTGTTTGTGTTTTCAGTTTTCTTCTTAGTGCGCTGTTCTCTCACATCCACCACGTGTATGGTTGTTTTCGGTGACTAGAAACCAATTCAACTTCACTTATATCCCCGCAACTATCCTGCCGCTATCATTCTTTTTGTCGCTTTTGGTGAAACTGAAAAACATTCTACGTCAAAAGGTCACTCCTTATTGTCAGTTCAGAACCGATTTCCGTTTTCTTATACACTAATGAAATTCTCCCAATTTTTCCATATTCTTCTGTCAGGTTGATCCACAGTTTGCCACTGCATTGGAGACAAACTCTTGGAACCCTTCAGGCACCTCTTCTCCTCAGACAGTATATCCGACCACCCCTTCAAGGCCGCAGATTCGTCGGGCTGATCAACTACTAGCGGTCAACGGACGTTCTGTCAAGCATTACCGACCCGTAGATGTCGTACGCTTGATTCACGCAATTGGCTCTGCTGCAGCAGCGGACTTTCAAGGCATGGATATTGTCGACACATCCAATCCAGTGTGCACGCTGCGGTTACTGTTTGTGTATAACCCTCTCCGTAAGTGTCGGCTTCTGGTGTACACAAGGGTCCTTTCTGAAATCGCGCTTTGTTCGCTTTCAGGGAGGATAGCTTCGTCGTCCTTATAACTGAGATATCAGTGTCCCCATAGTCTCTTGTTCTCTTTCCTTCAGCATGCTTCACACAATAACTGCCATAATTTTTCTTGTATACAAGCATCTTGGTGTTGAATGAAGCTTTTTGCATGTGTGAATTTCACTTATTCTGAGCTTGGTTTTCACTTCTGAGTGGTGTTCATATGTGTCACATTAAGATCCGCTTTAATATATCAAAGAAAGTCTCCATATCTGAAAAGAACTACTTTGATTGCTCTCTTGAATCAGATTTCAATCCCAACGTCCTCTCCGTAGATATCGCTTTTGGGTTGTTTCCTCATAGGGTCTTACCCTAGGTAGGTAGCCTTATATCGTCAGCAGACTAAATGTGGATGGACTCTGTACTCGAGGACAGTTGATTACTGGTTGTTTACCACATTTAATCTATTCTTTTATGGTACCCTTACTGGCATTATTCGAGCCTATTCACGTTCACTTACAATGACTGGTTCGCCCGTTCCCCACAAGCTGCAAATAGCTTGTTCTGTCGTGCTTACGTGTTCCATGCATCGTTTCAGAATACCATCAGTTGGTGAACACTTTGGACAGCCGCTTCCTGGACGGCCTTCATTTATCTGACCAGAACCACAATGTTCTAACAGGTTCACTTCAGCGAGTCAATGCAGATGCGATCGATGGGCAGTCGAAAAAGATCAGCATGTACGTCACTACCGTCAAATATTATTCTTGTATCAGCAGCAACTGTTTGAGTATACAATTCGTATTTTTGTACATCTAGGGACAAAGACGTTCAAGTTTATGGACATACTGGTTACCCTACGCAGTCGTTCTATAAACCAAAGCACTTGTGGTACCTCCATTTAGTGGTCAGCGAGTTCCACCTGTTTCACATGTCGATCGGTTTGTTCTCACGTTTATCCTTTAATCGGATCAACGTCAGAAGACCTCCGCTAACCGGTACACAGATGTTTTCATGACCCGATTACACAGTAGCTAATCGCCGCAACCCTAATTGATGTCTGTGACTTGAGAATGTGTGCGAAATCCTTATTAGGCCAAGTGACCTTTGCCTTGTGAAAGCAAATATTCTGTTTGGTACTCGGAGAAAACATCTTTGAGTATGTGGTTCGTATATGAGTGTTTTCAAACGTGGTCGCTGAGAGGGTGCGACCAAATCAATGCTGGATTTTCTGATGCGCAATGCATCAAAGTTAAAGCTATGCGTATTGTCTTTTGTGTTTGTGCATTGGATTATACCACTTACACATGCCATACACTAAAAGTTTCAAAAGATCTGTGTCTATTTTTCTCTATTCTTATGGTACATATCTTTATAACCTCAGCTTACTCCAGAGGCTGCCTTCGTTTGCCCAGGAACATAGCCTGTCGATGAGGTTTGTGCTCGGATTTACTGCGGCTTAACACGAGGGTCGCTGACTTGTTCGCTGAGCTGGGTGATTTGAGTGCAAACGTTTCATCACCAGTCGAAGTGACATCATCAGTGCGCGTTTTTAGGGCGCGTAGTGTTGCATGCTGTTGGCCGGGGCTGGTTTTTTATCACGATTATTTGAGTGGTCGGGCGGTTCCGTTGGTTGCTCTATTATCCTGTGTCCACGTGACCTTTGAGCTTGGCATCTCCTGCCCTCGTAACAGTAACATGAAGGTATGATGTATCGGCATAATGCATCTTTCTATTGGACTATGTATTCGCACTTGCTGTTTCTGATAGAAAAGTTAGAAATCACCCTTAAGGATGTAGTCTGGGATCAATCCGGAACAGGTCATTCATTTGCTCCGTGATGCCCAAGACTATCACAGAACCTCCGTGTTGTTTCTCTAAGAGTGTGTGATTTCAGTTTATCCAGAAGCAATGTTGGTAGAATCTTTTGGGACATGAAGGTCAGTTACTAACTTCGATGATGGTGAACTGTGATAAACCTCCTATAACCTAATAGTGGTCTCCCATGGAAATGTCGGTCTCGATGCGCTTGAAGTGCACCGATAATTGATGTGTAAAGTCTTTATTGTGTTTCCGAATAGTCCCATATATCCATTAGATAAATGTTTTTGAGATTTTTTCATCCGTCGCCGCGCGGAATGACCGATCGACCATTCATTCTATAGTTCTTTGCTGAAGGCTAGTATCATCTTGTTCGCTGGCTTCGACAGTTATCGTCCCTTAGGCGTGACCGGAATCATACACCATAGTTGCTCACCTCGCATTTCAGTTGACTGTATACCCTCAAGCCAAAGTGAGCCTCATTCATCAAGTGAACAACTTTCACCAGACTCATAAGAACAAACACTGTTGAAGATTTCATGATAATTCTGCTTCACTTTTGTCTACCCTACCCACGTACATTTTTTGAAAAACTTCTCTCGAATTAACCCTTCCGTTTGATTTTCTACGAGTTTGTTCGAAGTACCAGGCTTTGAACTTGAAGACTGAATGGAAGCTTCATAGGTTGCAAGTTATTTCTAGGTCCTCTTGATGTCATTTAGAGCCTATCTACGCATCTCACTTTGACCGTTGATTAACCTCCCCTCAGTTAATTTCACTAACAACAGTCTAAGCATTCCAAGAAAGCCAAGCGTAGGTGAACTACGCTCGCTATAAGTGTTTTTGTCGCCCTATGACTGAGTTTACCGGCTCCGACTTCCTCTTCACACATTGAACATGACGATTGGTTGCACTGTGACGTCACAGATCACGTGATACAGTCTACATTACCTGAACTCCTCAGTTTTTCGCCCTGGTTTCGCTGTAGTTCTCCTCGATATTTCAATGGGTTAAGAGGTCAAATTGATTTGCTAACGTAACAGACTGTGCAACTGCTTACAGATAAGAAAATGCTCTCGACCTTTTATAACCATGAATCGTGTCATGTGATTAAAAAGTCCTGACAGACAGGTCAAGACGGTTACTGGTGTTTTTCAGACCGAATCATTCAGGTGCGCTCAATTTGTGCAGGTAGATAAACGCTAGACTAGGTCCCTTGGAAGTCAACTGGTCGGACTGGAATCCTTCTACAGATAACGGTATGCACTGTTGAGCTCCAATGAGAACGAAACTTGGCTTTATTCTAAACTAACTATGGTAGTGGCGTCAAGATTGAAAGGTGATCATATCCGAGTGATCTGGGGATAATTTGTAGAGATTCCGCAACGCTGAGCAGGGTGGTTAAGTCAGCTTGTTGTTCCGTTTCTAGTTGTTTTTCTGCTGTTCCGCTGAATCTATCCACCTCACGGTGAAGTACGTCTGCCTGGTTGGATTTCGAATCTCAAACCATTTCATCCGCAGCACTACTTCCACTGAACTAAGCTGTGGCACCTTTCCGGCGCCTAACTGCCATGCCACCCGAAGGAAGCACGAGGGCTGGGATACTCCCAGGTTGCCCAAGCCTAGACAGTGGAAGTTGAGTGGCAGAGGTCAGGTTCGAAACACGGACCTTCCGGTCAGTAAACTCGCGCTCTAACCATTTGGGCCATCTCGCCCCACCGAACTAAGTACGAACTTCAAGGTAGCTAGGTATTATTGAAGAGGCCGTCACACCAGTCTGATCTTCATGACACCTTCTGAATTCAAAATTCAAGTTTCAACTCATCCACTCTACTGCGCCTCTGAACAGCACTTCTCAGGCCGATAACTGGAACACACTGAGTTATTCGTTTGTTGGGTCACCTTCTCATGTCCCTGTGCAGCTGCGCACTGAGTGTCCAACTGGGAACGGAAGAGACGAACAAGGTCACCCGTAGTTTATTTCGGTTACGCAATTCCATGCCAACTGCTGCAACCTGACCGGTCAGTTATCCGTCATACAGATGTTTCGGTTTTCTCTCAACAAATTTTACTAGTTGGTACTGTGTCAAAATAGCTCAGCTCCGTTTATTGATTGTTGGTATGTTCGCCGAGCTTGACAGTTCACCTGCGAGTTAACTGCAAAACTCGGCGGACAGACCAACCGCCACCTGATCAGCAGTCAAATCTCACCATTTTTCGCTTTCGCTTGTCTGGTCTGATTTCATCGGACTTCTGAAAGCTATCCACACTTTCCAAGTACGCTCAACTTTAACCGGCTTCTGTATACTGAACTAATTTTATTTTAAACATTACCGGTCCAGCTTCGTTTTTAAGCACAACACTGCACTTTTAATCAATATTAATTTGCTTTAGCCCGGTTGTGATCGTATGCCCACCAGCACCGTCGCTGCAAAACGGCCCCCTTTCGGATGATATGCCAGTGGTGCGACTACTTCGTGCGCACACGTAGGTCCCACGATTCCGTTCAGCATGAAGTTGAACGTGGCATGTTGCATGCTGCGCGCACTTATATGACCGCGCCACCGGGGTTATCTACCACCTTACTTTAGCGTACTTGAAAGCAACTTTTCGCCTACTCTGTAAACTCAATGTTTGTTCACCTATCTTATCAGTGTTAGTTTTCGTAAACTATCTCTCCCAATGATTCAAGGACGCACATGTTCTGTGCATGTACGTCCGTACGTAATTCCCGATTGTCAACCGAAGTGCGTAGTGCACCAAAGAACTCTATTTGCTGACAATCTTCCGTTATGTGCACATAAAGACCAAGGTGACAGTTTTTTCGCGAGAGTTATTGCAAAGTCTGGTCTTGGGTGCTCTATTACGGTGGCCTATCCCTGTGTTTTCCTAGATGTATTCCGAGTTGTCTTGGGATGCGAGCTCGTGTTTCAAGTGGCTAAACAGAACTCACAAATTACAGGTCACGACACGGTCAATCAGGACTTGTCGTGAAACTTTATGGCTTGTATTACTGTTGTGTGCAGTCGTTACCCTTATATTACAACATTCTTGGAGGGGACAGGACGATCCACTCTACATAGGAACCCGTCTCAGTTTTTATGATAAGTTTACGTTCTTCAAGCTTCAAATTGTATGTTTTAATTAGACTACTGCAATCCACTGTTTCTGCGCAGTTGCTCGCTCGGTTGGAAGTCGGCGTTGAACTAATCTCCTGAGGTATCACGCTTACCCATCTCCCCAAGTGGTCGTAAATATATTTTTTTATCACTACAGAACAAGAATCCCATCCTCGATTTTAGGAATTAAACCCCTACTTTATCACAATTGAGGTGCACTTTCTAGTCGCCGATGGCGACGAAAGTCAGCTTTTATTGATTCTTTCTAAATTGATCACTTAATTTTACCGGCCTAGAAGTTTTATTAACCAGATCACTAGTGGGATTTGCTTTTTGAGTCACACGTCACTTTTGGCCCACTTTTGAAAACTAACTATCCATCTTATCACTGACAGTCTTATGCCCTCATCATTTTCTGAGCATGTTAACTCCTTTAGTGGTTATGCCTGATAACTTCTAGTTATTTAGTTAGTGCTGCTTAACTGTTTTTATTTTCGGCAAGTTTAACGGTACGCACTCTACCTTTGAGAGCCAGGAGCGTCCGTTTCCCCATAACGCAATTGTTCAAGGACATTGGCGAGCGACGTAGTGCACCAACACTTTGAAGTGTTTGTTGTCGTTGGTGAAGACAACCAAACCGACTATCGAGCTCAAGGTCCACGTTACTCCTCATGGTTTTTCGCAATAGTTACCAGCCAATAGACCATTTTTCTGTATGTGGTTCCAGTTTTCAAAATCACAAGGCATCATTAGTTATATGTACGGGTTAGGCTAAACCTGGCATCCGTACACTTACTTCGCCCTCAATTAGAAGATATCAACAACTATACCGAGCAATGTTCGCACTTGCTGACTGGACCTTACCGTGGTGTGACGGTTTGCGCACCTCAGCGATCCATTGAGCTATACTGGAGAGTGTCCCGCGACACTCACAGAGTCTCTCATACCAGGTTGGCCAATGGTTAGAGGTCTGACGAACACAGTCTCCTGGCCCTCCAGGTTGGGGGTTGGAACATGTGGCGACTTGTTCCGTAGAAATGGTAATGCATTTGCATTTCCCGCCAAACACCGCTGCCTTGCGGTTAGGCTTTTGAGCCAAAGGCTTTGGTTGAGGACCCTAATCGTCCTCCTGTCTAGGTGTGGGCGCCCTGACAGTATTCCAGCCCTCGTGCAAAGTACGGCAGTGAAGCATCGGTGTTGAACACTGATGTCATGCTGTCGATGATGCTGACGATGATGAGTCTATTCTTTTGGGGAATAGTAGAGCCAAACTTTCCGAAAATTCTAGGTTCTCATCGTGGATAAATCTCCCTATCCATCTAGTGGGTAGATTGTATGGAATCACAACAAAATAATCGTTCGGCATGGGATCTCTGATGAGCAGCTTATTTGGGAGACACTATATATTTTATAGACGTATATATGTACTAATAGTTGCATGAACTTGCCCCATATATATGTGTGTGTGATCACCAAGCTGTCTGAAACGCTCGACAATCCCTTCTCAATCTCCGTCCAGACCTTCTAACGGTCGCGGTCCTGGTCCGACACGAAGTAGTCGCCCGCTATCACCTGCCCCTCGAGGTTCCGGGGAGCAAAAGAGTGTGACGCGTGGACGACGCGCTCCCGAAACTCAACAACATAATGGTGATCTTCGTTCCTCTGCCAACCTCAACCATTTGCCTGATCCCCAGGACCGAAGATCTGGTCGGTCTCACAGTGCTCATACATCACCCATTAGAATTTCCTCAGGCAAGCAGCGATCCAGTGTTGACACTAATTGCGGTGAACCTGATGTGAGTAACTCGTCATTCCATTCACCGTTGTACATTACAACTTTGTCCAACCAGCGCTGTTCCGGTTCGTCAAACTTTTGGCGTTTTCTTCTGCTTGATTTAGTTCCCCATGATATACATCTTCAAGTGGCGAGTTTGTCGCCATTTTGGAGCTCTCCAAACTCCTGGTTTCATAAACATAGGTAAAAAACACTTTTTTTTACATTTATTCTCACCCTGGACCACTTGTCTGTTGACCGATTCGCTTAGTAAGCAATGGGCCTGCGGAGTCACACGTCTTATCCCTTTACGCCCAGATAGCTGGACAGCACCTTGTGACTTGTTTTTTTGGGAGGGGGGTCTCACCACATGTCCCGTGAATTCCCTCGTACTTCCTGATTGCTATGTTTCGTGTTCTATGAGCCGAACTTGATCCTTGTTGAAAAGCCTTGGACCACTGTACGGCTGTTTCGCTAACGTGTGAGTTTTACTAACCTTGAGGTAGATTAGATCCCGTAATGCTCCGGCCAGCAGATAAACCTTCCCTCTGGTCACTAGATAACTGGTCGGGTCGAGTGCTTTCATTTCCACAGCCTGTAAGGTGGTTACATTCTATGGTCGAATTTCTACCGTTCACCCAAGTTTCTACCACAATGGAGTATTTTTCATCAGGTGGATTAATCGCTTTTGCATGGAGTGCTTCACTCGGTCGGACAACTGTCGGCGTTCCTTTCACGTCACTCCCCGCTTGAGTTAAGATCGTCTTCATTTTTACTGTGTTTCCTTCGCTTACCCCTACGGATCCGAATAGTGGATATTTTGTTAGATTTCGTAAAGTGTGGTGGAAATTTCCTACTTGATTCTGCGTCCTCGTAAAAATGAACTGCTCACCCGTGCCTCCCTGTAGCCATACAGTTTTCATAAACGAAACTGCTCACTAAGTTGCTGAAAACTCTTCGACAGCCCACGACCGGTTTCGCCCTTCTTGGGGCTCATCAGGTAGACTGTCGAAGAGTTTTCAACGATCCTGTGAGCAGTTTCTTTTATGAAGATACACTGCGCTATCTCGAATATCGTACCAACTGAAACATGAGGTGGTCTTTGTGCAGCACATTCGGTTGAAGAATATCATAACCAAGATGAAAACCAAATTGATTTGCAAATGAGTGAATTTATCGAAGCCATGCAATTTTTTGTTTCTCACTGTGTTTCATTGCTGGAACCTTTGCGAGTGCACTTCTTCTCACAGTGCACCTGGTTAGCACCAGTTGAAAGAATTATGATGTGTCCTAGCTTGCCGATACGAATGCTCCCGTAACCATCATCGCCTTCTATCAGTCGATACACAGGGCCGATTCAGTTTATCAGAAAAATTTGTAGCTTGCAATCAGCATCAATAACTACTCATCGCTCTATTCTCCTGGTCACTACTATTGGGCAATGCTTCGCAAATCAATTTAACCTTTGATTACTTGAACTACTCTCCAGGTGTATCTCGTATATTTTAACTCTCCACGATCGAATTTTGTTGAATCAAGAACTCCCGAGTAAACAGCTGGTCACTCAATCGAACTTACCACTTGTCTATCGACTGACTGACTAACCTGAACCGTTTCCGTCAGAGATATCCATTTATTGTGGCATGAGGTCGATGGCTTTGTATTCAAGACTACCTTCACGCCTTCCTCTTGTCAGTTCACTGTGTTCTTCTATTTTCTAGTCAGCGGTTCGGATGTCATCTGAGCAACCTGGTTCGACTGCTAGCTCCGGAATAAATGGTAACCAGACCATATCTTTCTTGCGAACGCCGTCCACTGCGCATAAGGATTCATGTAATTTCTTGTACAGTCCTCCTCTATTTCATCGAACTCAACGCTCATCCTCGCAGCCAGACCTCAGCGTGGTAGAGCCCTACGCCCCGGACCTCACCTTGAACCCACCATCAGCTGCATTTCTTGCCAAGCGTCCGACGTCAGACGCCAGTCAGACTAACGATCAGTCGTTTTCCGTCATCCGAGTCTGGCGTTCTAACGAGACTGGTCGTGATCAGACGAGTAAGCTGGTTCTACTCCCACACCGTCACACCAACGCGTTGTTAGCAACTCGGTTAGCTGCTGAAGAATTTGGAGTGCTGGAAGAGGATATGGACTGTTATAGTCTTTATCACGTAAGCTATTCAGTGTCTATGATTTCATTTGTGAAACCCATCCCGTTTTTCCTAGATTCATATCATGACACCTATCTATTAGATGTCAGCAACCGAAATCGGCATCCCTAGTACACTTTCGTGGTACTAAATTCTTAAATTGACTCGTGATGGACTTGTATGGTTAGCCTGCTAGTTCCTTGTGCGGACCATGAAATCCTCTCTAATTACAAGAAAAGGGGATGAAGGTCTAGCTGGCACAAACGTGACATCTCGGCGACCTCTGATGAGATCCATCTCAGATTTTGCGGGCCACAAAACTTTCCCAATGCGTGAGTTCTTGTGTTAATTCACATTTTATTCCCTGAATAAGGTCTTGTTCAGTGATTGCGCCTCTCTTCTCTAGTATCGCTTTTTATCTCAATCCTTGCTGTTCATCCCATCACTCACTTTTGTTGCCGTTTGGATCAGGTTTCCGCCTGTTGGTCTTAGTCACGAAAACTGAGTAGTTTTGCCGGAGGCGACACATTGTTCCTGCCTCTTCAACTAGGCATTTCTCGGGTGTGAGGACGCGTTTCTCTTTCCGACTTAACTCTGACTAAAACCGTATGTGGCGCAGTTTCGTATACACCTAACCAGGTGAAGCTGCTGATCAACTAGACATCTGATGTAATCCGCCAACTTGATTTACAGACGTGGGGGAACCGATTTCTTCGTTAAACTGCTTATACTTGGTTACCTTTGTGAACTGTTATTCCGTCTATGATGAGCTTGAAAAGCAGTGTGGTGGCGGTTGGGCTATATGATGTTCGTCTGATTAGTCGTTTAGATAGTCCACCTATCACCGTGATTGTGTTCAGATCATGCAAACATCTAAGTCGAAATAGAGGACCCGACTACACTTTCCCAGTCTGTCTTGTGTATCCCTCCGCTCAATATTGATAGTAGAATCTTCCATTCGTACCTGTCAATAGTTCTCCATGTCCTGCTGTTTTTTGTGTATCTTTCTTACCCATCTTGGAAACACACTGGCACCTGTGTGCCCCCCCCCCGCCTCACGAACCGCATGGCGCGTAGCAACGAACACACTTCATTGTGTGTTCCCCATTGGTGCCTCGTAAATGACAGTCTATACTTGTTTGCGCCCTAGCGTACTTTAGGTTGAGATAAAGAAACCGTCCAGTTTCCCCCTATCCACCGTAGTGTTATACTAGTCCTGATTCGTTTTTATCACAGCCACAAGGGGATACGGCCAAACACCTTGTTTCCATTGCTGTCTACTTTAAAATTGACACTTTGTTGAATATGGATAGGTCGGGTGACGATGTCACTTCGTACAGTGACAAAATGTATACAAGCTAATTAATTGCCAGGCTTGGCGAGCAGACCAAATACCACATGAGCACCAGCTGAACCCCAAATCGAGCCTCAGCTTACCGGATTCATCTGCACTCTGTCAAAATTCAAATGGAGTAGCATCATTTGCTTAGTCCAAACTTGTTAAGTTTTGATCCTCCTTGTTGAGCAAGAATCTAGAGATTATCCGCGTTCATCCGCAGCTAAATAACTCCCCTTTGTACTCTCAGTTGACCGACTTGTGGGTATCACGGGTTTTCTGGACTGTAAGCCAATACCACTATAGGATATGTGACATTCTCCTCCCGCTGTACTGTCCAAATCTGTTGCGAAAAATGTGTGCGCCACATATTTATGTTCGGAAATCCGCAGAATGCGCGCGGTTGCTTGGTCTTTCAAATGAAGAAGTGAGATAACTCAGCAGTTAGGGCGGAAGATCCGTGGGTAGAATCTAAGCTCGGTATCCCAACTGCTGCTGTCTATGCTTTGGCAACCCGGCAATACTTTAGTCATCGTGCTTTCTTCGGGTGGCATGACAGTTGTACGCCAAAAGGGTGTTACAGCTAGACGATTGTTATTACTATTATCAGCTTACTTGCTAAGAATGGGCCATTCCAGCTACGTGGCCTGGTTAGTAGTTCGCCCCATCAGAGCAATTTTCGCACCATAGAACAAATAAATGCCTTGCTTCTTAGGGAAGGTTAAACTTCAAACCAGATACTTCATGGTTGCACTGCAAACCGGACAGCTTTATGCGTCGGAAGGAAGTTGTGACCTTCTGAATTATTATTATTATTTATCATTACTACTATGATTTCTGTTGTGGAGTTTGTGGGAGGACGACTGTTCAAACAGTATTACTACTATTATTATTAGTATTATGGAGATGTAGCGATCATTGCTGCTACAGCCAACGTCAACTGTCGAACGCAATCCACAAGACCACATAGGTGCGACCAAAATGAATACTACTCCCTACTCGAACCGGAACTCTGAACCGCCCTTCTTTTGCTATTCATCCTGGTTTGTCCTGTCAATGACTAGCTGCCTCTAAGTGCGACATGGTTGCTAGCAGTTCGCACTGTATGCTTTTGTTTAGCGAAGGATTTTCTCCCATCCCTCGTCCTACTCACTATCAGTTCGCAATTTACTCAATTTTCAACACATTGGAAATGACCTTGGCCTTCCGCACTGAATCTCAGCTGATAACACTCTGAGGTCATTTGGTCCTATCGTCCAACTAACCAACTAACTATTCTCAGCTGAGGACCGATAGTTTTCTTCTCCATAAACTAGATTGGTTTTGTTCCTATTCCCATCTATCTCGTTTGAACAGTCGTCCTCCTGTCCTGGCGTAATTATTCTAGTGAGTCCACACCAAATGGAAGTACTGGGCTCGATTTCCGCTCTTATTAGAGCTCATCAGCAGTGCATATCCAATGGCTGTGCCGAGGTTTGGACTCCTGACATCTGACATGCGAGGCGAGCGTGTTACCAGTGCTCCATCAACGCACGTTGGACGCATCTGAATCGCCACGTCTGAACAGGCGAACGTGTCACGCTTGAGCAATATGGTTCATCATCACGTTCTTGTTGTCAGTTTCTATCCAGATTGCCTGAGTGAATGTGTGGAGGTGTAGGCACCTCGGAATGATTGTGTTAGGCTAGCACTAAGTCCCTCCCCCATCCACCTTTACTCTTTTCTTTACAATAAGGCTTTCAAATAAGTCATGGTTGTACGGCAGTGAAGCATCGGTGTTGAACACTGATGTCATGCTGTCGATGATGATGATGATGAACCATATTGCTCAAGCGTGACACGTTCGCCTGTTCAGACGTGGCGATTCAGATGCGTCCAACGTGCGTTGATGGAGCACTGGTAACACGCTCGCCTCGCATGTCAGATGTCAGGAGTCCAAACCTCGGCACAGCCATTGGATATGCACTGCTGATGAGCTCTAATAAGAGCGGAAATCGAGCCCAGTACTTCCATTTGGTGTGGACTCACTAGAATAATTACGCCAGAACAGAAGGACGACCGTTCAAACTAGAGTGATGTGAATATGAACAAAATACATATCCTAAAAGACCCACAATAGATTGGTTTTGTTGGTCACCTGCCTGCATGATGTGTCATCATCATCGGCCATAATCGAGGTGTGTTGTACACTGGCTCCAGTCACCAGTTCACTGAGGACGAGGTAATTAGGGGAGGAAGCTGCATATCGGTGGGACTGTGCATCGTTTGGACCAGGTTTCGGATGCCACAGTTTTTTCGGACCTCGTCATCCAGACCCAGACAGCTCTGTTTTCTAGCGTGCATCCGCATTGTACATACCGATCGATTAATTTGTTTTTTAACCGTTTTCCTAGATAATCGACCTTTTTGCCCACATCCACCAGCAACCCATCTTACCTTGTTTACTTACGTCAAACACGGCGTCATACCACCTCGTCAGTTTTCTCTTCCTAAGAAGCTATCTCTGTCTGGCACGCGCGTCTCTTCGAAACTGACATCAAAACAGTCTGAAAACGTGGTACATCCCTGCCCATGACTGATTGACCAGCTAGTTTCTGCCTCTTGGTCGCCGAAGCAGCTTTCTATTTCGTTTCCTCCCATGATTTCCCATCACGAACTCGTCCTCAGGCTTCGTGAGAAAGGGTGTTTTTTGGTTCATCATTTGCACTTGTTTGTTCTTACCTCAATTCGGAACAAACCACAGATCTTTTGAGAGACAGAGACTTCATCATGACAACCGCGCAACTTCTAGAATGTACATCGCTACTACAGTTGCTTTGCAGTAGATTTATTAAACCCCACCGTCCAACAGCTAGGTTGCCCTGGCTTATCGATCGAGCGTGAGTGATGTCAAAACGCGCAGTTCTTTATGTCACATTGGCACCCAAGCTACTAGACGTGCGCTTAGTCCACGGTCAAAACCCTCAAGTTGAGATCTACGGATAGGAATTTCTAGTTAAGCTAAGGTATCCACTCCTAGAGACCAGTTTCACGTCAGGACGATCTTAGATTCCAATCGGAGCTTCCTAGGATTATTACCAGTGTGTCTTGGAATTTTGTTGGAAAAAACTGATTACCCCACTCAGACTAATACTCTTGTTGCATAGACTGTGCTCAGTTTGTCTTAGTCTACTAAACATTTTCTCTAGAACCGCTGTTTGTATAATCCCACTCCTCTGTCACTGGCACTTTGAGTACCACAAAACTGTGTCTTACACAGGTCTTTTCACTCAGCTAAATGGAGGGTTGAGACGGTCCATAGAGGATATGATCATAACTTAGCACCGAGACAACAAAATGACGAACTTTCGGTTGTCTTCCTGCTGTACGAATACCTCAGGACGTGACATTTGAGCCACGCTGACAGACGGTCCAATAACAAAACACTGTTTATCAATATACCATTATCACCGCAGTTATATCATCCTATCTCAAATTTCCAGTTCCAGCCAGCACAGCCTTATCTCCAGATTTTATTTTTCGTTGCTAAGCCGAACTGTTGATGTTTCCACCTCATCGTTTGTCGTAGCGATTATCACTACACCATCCCTGTTCTCCTCATGTTCTGATATGCATTAAACCTTTGCGAGCTATTCGAGTATCCGAATCGAGTTCATAATACAGTGATTCAGCTGATGTCCGGCCCAACTGTACTTTTGATCGGCTCACACTTGGTGTTGACCTAAATGTATGGTTAGATTAAACAAAAGATCGGTTTGGAGAAGATGTGAATCCGTGTGATCGGAATGTTTAAAGTTGAGCCACGTGACTACCTGTTGATGCCGATCAACTTGCTTCCCGTGCTACTTCCTATTACAGTGCGAACGGAATTATTTAGAGATCCTTGATCTGTGGTGTGTTCTCCTAATCTGTTTTGCAAACTGGTCGATATTTACCTTTCCAGGTTACCGTGGATCCCGGACCAATCGTGAAGCAAAGCAGACTGGCCAATACGGTGGACGATTTGGCTGGCCGCATGACACTGAACGCTCGCTACTATTTGAGACACAATCGAAGCCATGATACGTTAATTGCGGATGATGTGGCCAAAACGATCTTAGCTGAAAGTCGTGTGACTTTCTTGCAGGTCAGCTATTTTTTTGAAATTTCAAACACTACCCCCTCTGTGCAACATTGACTACTTCTCATTTAAAATTGTCATCCTCAAAGACTTGGTACCGAGACGCTCTTTACTTCACTGAGTTGGAAGTCGGTTCTAACTATTTTACCCTGTTCCTCTATTCTCTCTGATAACCAGCGATGTTCAGTCAGCCACAGTGCTACACCAACCAACGCATGAAATGCATAAATCTCCGACGAAGCTTTCTCTTTGCCTACTCAGTCTAACTAATACCGGTTTATTGACGACCCTAGTTCCCTCCTTTTTGTGCATTGTGCTTTGAACTGAAACGTTCGTCATCGTGTAGTCAGACCATTGGCTTATCCTTATGGAAAGTGAGGTGAGAAACTGTAGTAACGGTATTTTCCTCAGCTTAGTTCTCGGTCTGAGCCTCCCAAGCTAACGTTCACGTCAAAACAACCACCAAAGGTGCACAAGGTCTATTAACACCCAAAACGAAATCAGGAACAGTTGTACAGCGCTTTGTATATATAGCGTAAGCGGTCATAACTGTCTGGAATTTCTGACGCGTTCTGGATGCGACATTGGCAACCGGCATTTGGCCAATACTGGGTCATGATTGGCTGTTGGGTCCAGATTATTGACCAATCAGATCTCGTCTTGATGCCGGACCGGCAAGCGTCCCGAATTCTGGGCCAACCTCGAGCGGGCCAGGCTTCTCGGCCGTAGCAGCGCCTAAAGACGTGCGGTATAGGGGGATCCGCGTGGATTCCTGCCTAACAGAAACACTTCCACGAAAAGTGTTCAGCGTATCTGATGACCACCGCCGAACGTAGTTTATGCCCAAATGTTTTACTCTGTCTTTCCTTCACAGCTTACCCCTGAAGACCTAGCCATACGCGTAACGTTGGACGATTACGAAATATTTCGAGCCGTACAATCTACAGAATATATTGATGAAGTGTTTGGGCTTTCTCCAACGCCTAATTGCCTGACTCTGTCAGACGCTGCGGTATCCCACACCACTCCGATGGGCTACGCCACAGGGCACGGTAATCTCGATCGTTTCACCGAATTAGTCAACCGTGAGGCCTATTGGGCTCCGACAGAAATTTGCATGGAATCGAATTTGAACCGTCGAGTTGATCTGATCAAACGATTTATCAAGGTAAGTTGGCGTGCGTTGTAAATCAGCCGGCTTCTGCATCAGACACAACCCCCGTAGTCTGCGTCTCGGTGACATGGTTGCTTACTCGTTCCTCTGTGCGTTGTGTGTGTGTGTGTGGAACTTGTTGACGGCGTCCCCCGCACGCTAGTTAATTAGTCAAAACACAAGTGTTGATATCCAGTTCCAAGTGTTTTGCTAAGGTTGGTACACCACAGCCTGTGTGTGTGGAACTTGTTGACGGCGTCCCTCGCGCGCTGGTTAATTAGTCAAAACACAAGTGCTGATATCCAGTTCCTAGTGTTTTGCTAAGGTTGGAACACCACAGCTTTCCCACGTTACTTCATCTCCTTTCGTACAGTTTTAACCCTAAAACTTGGACTTCGTTCTCTTCCCCCACCACCCGTGCGTTATCGTGGTGGAGACCTTGGTCTGAAGCCGCAGTACCGGGTGCACTGACCACGATAGATCTAAAGCGCGTCGACTTTTTTCTGTTGGCTTATCTGATTGAGTGCACGTGTGCCTGTGCGCTGCATGATTCTGTCCAGTGTGTTTGGTGCTCGCTCATTTTTCGCAGATAGCCAGCCAGTCTTCTGTTTCTTTCTAAGTTGGTTTTCAAACATCTTTGAAATGGAAGTTGAACAAAAAACCCTTGAATGCAAACGGAGAACTACTTTTTTTTCGAAAGTTTTGCTACTTATATTGGATTTGTTACTCGATTACTTATTTTTTTACTTCGTTCCTCGAAAGGTCGCCCTCTGTAGCTTCACTGTACTATGCCTCCAAATTACCGGTGGTTGATCAGATGGCAGTTGATCTGTTCGCGAAGCTTGGCAACTGACTTGCAAACATTTCGTCCCCAGTCGGGGAGACATCGTCAGTGTGCAATAAACACACCCGAGCTACCCATATTTTGACAACTGACTCCAAATTCCCCTACAAATAGAAGTGCGACGGGTCTTCGGCTCATTCTTCACTGATATTTTGGTTAGGAAACATTTGACCACACCCACTTCACAGTTGAATATTGTCTCAGGCAAGCAAATGAAAGTATCGTCTAAAGGCACGTCAATTTCATCCATAATCGGTCGTCCCCTGTAACGTGGTGTATAACACATATTCCAATGGACAGGTTGTATGTGTTTGTCCAACGAAGACCAATCCCGGTGTCGCCAGCAAAACGGGACCTAGAAGTCCTATTCACCGCTGCAGACCTCGTCTAACCGAATGTGCACTTGAAAGCACAAAAATGGAGCTGTTTAAAGCCACCATGTAGCATTACAATACATGTGATATTGATGGTTGTATGAGGGATTCTTCATTATAGATTGGCTTTGCTCCTGACATGAAGAAATCTCCACTGCACGATTGGCTGACATTTCCTTGACTCCGACAGATTCTCAGGACAGGCTCTGGTGTCCCACCTGTCACTCTTTGGATATATGGTGATCCAGATGCAACGATTCGCAATGTCTATGATGTAGTGAGGGTTGCACTCACTCCCAAGGTTGAAAGTGCCTTCATGGACTGGCTGCCGGTAAATAGTAGTGGTCTTCGTGCTGTACGATGTGTCTGATTCAAGACCAGTTCAGGTCGATGTATTGTTCATTTGTTGTGTGCATCCCGACAGGCTGTGGGTCTGAACCCGAGAGATCTGTTAGTAAGAAGTGCGATATTGTCATCCTGATGGGTGATATGAATGCCTCAGTTGGACCCGAAGAAGCACAGTTGGGTGATGTAGAAGTCCTATTCACCGCTGCAGACCTCGTCTAACCGAATGTGCACTTGAAAGCACAAAAATGGAGCTGTTTAAAGCCACCATGTAGCATTACAATACATGTGATATTGATGGTTGTATGAGGGATTCTTCATTATAGATTGGCTTTGCTCCTGACATGAAGAAATCTCCACTGCACGATTGGCTGACATTTCCTTGACTCCGACAGATTCTCAGGACAGGCTCTGGTGTCCCACCTGTCACTCTTTGGATATATGGTGATCCAGATGCAACGATTCGCAATGTCTATGATGTAGTGAGGGTTGCACTCACTCCCAAGGTTGAAAGTGCCTTCCTGGACTGGCTGCCGGTAAATAGTAGTGGTCTTCGTGCTGTGCGATGTGTCTGATTCAAGACCAGTTCAGGTCGATGTATTAGATGGTACTCATTCGTTGTGTACATCCCGACAGGCTGTGGGTCTGAACTCGAGAGATCTGCTAACAAGAAGTACGATATTGTCATCCTGGCGGGTGATATGAACGCCTAAATTGGACCGGAAGAAGCACAGTTGGGTGATAGATTCGGAGTCGGTGCTCAGCGTACGGATGTTGGGAAGCAACTTTTTCAGTTGTACGATGAACGTAGTCTGTTCCTGACCGGTGTGAAATTTTAGCACAGACACACACAGTGTTGCTTGAAGGTGAACCACTCATGATCTCAATCAACTGCAAAAGTGTGGGACCGATTGAAAAGTCGTTCCAGAAGGGTTTGGTAAACAATCGGTAATTTTTAACTGGGTAACATTTCACTTTTGACACAAAAGCTTCATTAGGCTAAGTGAGAAGGTCACCAAGTTGGTCGGGTTTTAACGCAGATGGAGAACCAATCAATAGACCCTATCGGACTAGCACCTTATTTCATGTTGAATGTCAGTTAAAGGGTTTTCACTGTTATGGTGGTTGCCTAAATCGGATTCGGGGAATTCCAAATTATTTTTATCGGGTTCGATTTCTCAATCTTCCACTTCAGGGTGCTTCAATGGATGGTTCACCCTTGGGTGCCACTGGTATATTTCGCTGGTTTATGTGCTTGTAATTGCTACTGAAATTCCTCCAATTCGTCAACTGTAAGATTTAGGCAGCCGAATTAATCTACAAGACCCTTTAACTGGCACTCATCGCTGGTGTGGTGTGCTAATCTGAAGAGGTCTCATTGATTGATTCACCGTCCGCATCAAAACCTGGCCAACTTGGTGACCTGTCCACATGACCTGATGAAGTTTTTGTGTCAAAAGCGAAACTTTGTTCGATTGTTTACCAAGCCCTTCTGAATTTCTCATAATCTCGGCTCGATCATGTGGCTATTGGTCCCGATGGACAGCGCCAATTAAAAATCACCGTTCCCTGTGGGGTATGCAACTTGATTTTGACCACACCATTGTGCGGGTTCGATTGTCAGTTACTTTTTTCCAAGGATTACGCATACCGAAGCAGAGTCATTTCTTTCAATCTTCAGAAAGGGCCCAAGAACGTCATACAAACATCGTGGTGGCATAAGCCTGGTAGCCGTGGCATCCAGAGTGCTCTCTGGTGTTATTTTGTGCAGGTTGATTAAGAGCCGTGAGAGACAAATTCGGGTGGATGAAATGAGGTTTCACTCCGACTGAGGTTACATTGACCATATCCTTACTTTGAGACTGGCTCTCAAACAGCCCCGCTCTTGCACTTACAACTGAAAACTCCTTTCGACTTCGTCGATCGTCAGAAACTATGGCCCTGCCTGACGATCAAAGGTATTCTTACTCTGACCATATCCTTACTTTGAGACTGGCTCTCAAACAGCCCCGCTCTTGCACTTACAACTGAAAACTCCTTTCGACTTCGTCGATCGTCAGAAACTATGGCCCTGCCTGACGATCAAAGGTATTCCTTCTTACTCTTATCCCTTGTAAGGGTGTGCGCTGGTATACGGCGAGCTGCTACCGGAGTGTAAGACAGAGCTGTTCTCTCTCATCTTGTTTTTGTCGTCGTTCCCTCAAAATTGCTTGCTTTTTTTCGGAAAACTTGGGGGTCAAAATGCTCTCTGGGTGATCGGCTACATACATGGGGTACGCAGACAATGTCGGTCTCCTTGGTTCAGATCCTTCGGGGAAGCAAATCATTTTAACTACGCCTCCGTAGTGTAAAGTGCTGCTACAAGACCGTATGGGGTAAACCCAAATCACATGCACGCAGATGGGCCAGTCAGTGTGCCAGATAAATTTGTTTACCTGGATTCCCGTGGACTGGTTGAAGGCGAGTTCGAATACTGGGCAGTTTTTTTTCGAACATCGGCAACTTTGTTGGTGGCGTGATTTTGGTTTGACCCCAAGGGCCGCATTTCGATCCCTACTGCCTTATGGATCAGAAACGTGGCCCCTACTGTCAGAGGATCTACAGAAAAATTTCGATGATGTCCGGAAAGCCGAGTCCGATGAGAACATCGGATTAGTAGTGCCGGACGGAAAAAGAAGAAGAATGAACTTGCACATCTGTTTCGTATGCCAGTGGACCAATTACCTCACAGCTTTTATTGGAAGACGCCCTGCTGACTGGAGACGACCGAGAGGGGAATTCTATAACCTGGCAACAAATTTTCAAAGCACCAATCAGTAAATTAAGTCGGGTTGACAGATGCCGCCTCCCTGGATGCAGCCCCTGGGATTCAACTCATCCACAGTTAATGACACTGGTACACATGGTAGTCAGTGGCACTCGCGCATCAAGGCTAGCGTCTCCAATGCGTGGCTGTCGAATTTCCCCTTTCTTCGGACAACTGGAACGATACCTCATCAACTGACTGATCATGCCATCGTCTGCATTGTCTGACTGTATCTCCACCGTTTCCCCACTTTTCGGTGGCTGAAACTGCAGTCGCAGTAATTAGTGTACCCTTGGTACATGATTTATAGCTAAACCTGACGTCGATTTTTTGTAACACGTTCAGCACTTCATCGGTCTCCATGAAGAACTCAATATCCTCTTTCTGAACAAATTCAGTGGTGATCAGATGACTAAAACCAGGCTTTTCTATTCCATAGAGATAGCTTTGGCACTAGCCCAACCTTGATAAACTTGAATAGGTTGACCAGACTGCTTCGCTCCTTTCCGTGCCTTAAACCTGCGACCTCTAATGGTATCCTTTTATTCAGATTGTCGTGCTTTTGTGTTCTCCTCTTGTCTTCCCCGCATTTCGATAACCCGACCCAATCGTTTCCTTCATCTGGCCCAAAGTCCGATTTCTCGGAGAAGTCCTCATGGTTTTCAGGGTGTCCAACGTTTGCACAATTACACTGGACAGTCGAAGTGGAGGTCTCACAATTACACGAACTCTAAAAATCCTGTCCCAAAGCAGCTTATCCTTCATGTTGCGGAAACCAGTGTTGTTAAATCTAATGACGCGTACTTCAAGGATAGACGGACGAAACATTTGAGTTTGCGGAAATAGAAGTTGCTTTTAAAACGCTGGAAAGAGAGGACGGACAAGCGCACCGTTATTCCGTTATAGCCTGGTTACCCCTAAACCGGTGGCCTAATCTACCTGTTGTGTGGGCAGTATTCCTTCCGGTAACCCCTGGCCAATGAATTCGAATATCCGTGGAAAAATTTGACCTGAATAATCTTACTTATACAGAGCATGATTTCTGTACGCTTGCATTTTGAAAAATTCTGTTCTTACCACATACGCTTAGAGGTCAACCATCCAGAATGCTTCATGTGATCAGACTCAGTACCTGTTTTCCTGATAAGACATCTTGGCTTTTTGTGCGTTTTCTGGATAGAATTTCGAAAATGGATTGTTTCCAACTTCAGGTTCATCTTCTGACATGCGCCCCTCTAGACACTATGCCTTAACACTTGAAAATTACTGTGACCTCGTCTCCATAGATCACCGATAAAGTTCCGCAACTTTTCAACTTGACATAGCTAACGTACTCAGTTACTCTGTTTACTGTGGTGAAAAATATTCCAATGTGACATCCTTTCACATGAGAACTGCCGGATCTGTTAAGCCAAGCACCCATCGAGCTGCCCGTAATTGGCTCTCAAATGAGATGTCTGCGTTGTAGCCCACCCGTTATTCGTGCATCGTGTATTGTCGCATGTCAGACATTTCACCCAAGACTAACCAAGATTACAGCTCTTTGCTAGAGCACCACATGACCTGTTATCCTTGTACAACACTCGAAGTCATTATTCCAGATCTTTTGTAGGGCATCTGTAAGACAACTGTCAAACTATCGATTCTTAGCTTTTTTAGGGCATCTGTAAGACAACTGTCAAACTATCGATTCGTTAGCTTTTTTTCTCTCATCACTGATGTTTCTCCATCCCTGATCCCGAACTCCTTACCCCTGTCCCTTTCCCGTCTCAGAACAGTTGAGTGATTCTGGGTCATCTGTCTCCAATTTGATACATTCATAATTTCACCCCTCACCTTAACCCGCTGTCACTCAGTTTTCTTTTTTCGTAACTCACAGCTTGCAAAGCTCTGTCGAGACCTGCGAAACTTCAATACGATGTTCTGTATCTTGGTCGGGCTACATCAGACACCGGTGGAGCGGTTAAAACAGACTTGGGAACGGTTACCAAACAAGTACTTCAAGATGTATCGGGATCTGAGTGTGAGTCAGTTGTAGCCCCTATCATGGATTTTTTTACCAGATCTAATTTCCATGTATCATATAGCAGTAGGATCCATATTCACTTTATATTCTATCAATTGCCTGCACCCTGGTTATTCGACCTTGGATTCATGATTTCTGTGTGTGTATGGCGAAGCTGTCCCATCGAAGTTGGACAAATGCGTTGTGTGCTTCGTAACCGACTTTGTGTCTCTCATTTAGGACCTGGTAAGTGAGATTATCGTATGAGTTTGTTGTAGATTGCGAGTTCAACTACCTCTCACCTTGCTTATTTTCGTCTCTCAATTGCATCATCTGATGATGCCCTTTCTCCAGAAGATGCGTTCAAACTGGCTACTCTCAGTGAGTGGAGAAACATTGTCATGGTATCACTGATATCACCGTGTCCATTCAGAGCCTCCGTTAAGCTTCTTTTTCGCGAACGGCTTTCAGATACAGTGGAAACCAGGCAATAGCAAACCAGAGAATGAATTCGTTCTGTTTCCTCTCCCTTGACTAACTTCACTTGATGAAAGAAATTTAATCAGACTGAGATTTTGGTGGCATCTTTTAAACGCCCGTATTGGTTTCCTGTTTCTAGAGTGCACTCGGTTGATGTGTTTCACTACTCCCCATTCGTTGGGCTAATCGTGTTAGGTTTATTCAACCAGTAAGCTCTTTTCGGCCTTTGCGTTGCTTCGCACCATCACGATCGGCTGGCAAATACGATTTTTCTTCCCTCTGATAGTCATTCACACTGAATACTTTGTGCCACGGTTGTCTCACCTTTCCCTAATTCAGATGTGCGCACTGTGGCGATTATTGAGGAATCTCTATGAGTTGAGAAAATTGTCGAGTGGTTCGAGGTAGAATGTAGAAATACGGTGGTTTTCGCCTGATTGCACGCCTCTCTCACAGCTGGTTGATCAGAAAACAGCGGACAGTCTTCGGTGATTTGAGGATCTTCTTGCCGATTTTTCCGGTCAATCATATCCGACTTTGTCCAAGTCCAGGCAGTTGTAATGTATTTTTGGTTTTGATAGTCTAGTCAATTATGATACAATAACCGAGTGACATCGTCTGCGTGTCAATCTAACCAAGTGGTTTTTGCGACCGTCCGTTTCAATTCAGTCCAATGTATCGGTCATAAACCATGTGCCATGGGTACATTGGTTCCAGTTGCTGCAATTTCCCTGACCGGAAAGTAGGAGGTCGTGGGAGATACGGCCAATCATAGGAGACGATGGCATGTTCACTTGGTTCAGGAACTGGGTGGCTACGCACTGAAGCTTTGGTGCACGAGCGCCACTGACTATGCTGTTGGGCCATTTCCACCAGTGGCATTAACCTTGGATGAGTTGAATCCAGGGATTCGCATCCAAAGGGGCGGCACTTGTCCACCTGACTAAGTTTACTGGTTGGTGTTTTAATAATTTGTTACCAGGTCATACGCTGTCCACTTCTTGGTCGCCTCCACTCAGTACAGGACTAGGTGAGAAGGACTCTGCGGAGCCATTCGTTTACGTCATCATCATTATCATTACTCGGTATTCATTGACAACAATACCCTCGTAACACAGTGATTGTTCGCATCTCTCTGGCACACCGTTCGGGATAGATTGATTAGTTGGGTTCGAGTTCAAAGCAGAATGTGTCCAACATGGTAATGTTGGTTCACTATCCCAGGTATTACAATGCCCGAGAAGTCCAAAAAAGCTGGGCGGTTATAATGCTATTTCGTGCACTATATGCAATGCGGAGAGAATAGTTAGGTGCAATCGTGTGAATTTTGGACCTGCTTAGTCCCAGTTGAGATGAAGCGCGTAGGGGACTGATTTTCCATGACCGACCACTTATCAGATATATATATATATATATATATATATATATATATATA